GCCATTAAGCGGGGGATAACGGAGGTTTGAGCTCGGGGTCCCTTTCTTTCGGGGAAAATGAACTTATTGCATATAACCCCCTCAACTATTTCAACGATTAAGCGCTAGTAAATAAAAGGACAAATTTTCAATTTAGCCTAATTCCGAAACTTATTCTCTAAAAAACGACCTATTTGAAAAATATTTACCAAATTCGACCTAGTTTCAGCCAACTGGCTGAAAATGGGTCGAATTTGATGGAAAAAACTACAAAACTTCACGGGACTTCAAGTCCCGCGAAGTTCAAACTCCCCTTAAACTTGATTATCTGACGCTTAAACTTCACGAGACTTGAAATTCCGTGAAGTTTTGTAATTTTTTTTCAACAAATTCGACCCAGTTTCAGCCAACTAGCTAAAACTAAGCCGAATTTGGTAAATAATTTCTAAATAGATCGTTTTTTTGAGATTAAGTTTCTAAACGGGTTGTTTTTAAAAATTTGTCTTAAATAAAATAGGCCAAGAGCACGTAGCTTTAGAAGTCTGCATCTTTTCCTTTATCCGAGTTACAAATCTTCATCATTTTCTTTATCAAATCTGCATCTTTTTCTTTATCTTCTTCTTTACCCGCTTTAGAAACCTGCATCTTTTTCTTTATCAAATATGCACCTTTATTTAGAAAGGTCATTTCAAGAGCCAAAAGGGGCTTGAGACAAGGATATGCCCATTTATCTCCTTTCCTTATCTATCGTGACCATGGAGGTATTAATTTTCTCGCATGTTAGACTTGAACCTCCATCTTAGTCTAATCAAGGCCCTCGAGTTATCACACAATGGCATCCCTCTTACTTATTGTTGGGGATTTGAAATAATCAAATCAAATGCGTACCCTTCCGGATCTTGTGTTTGAGAGTTGAGCAAGAAATAAATTCACCACAAATCAAAGATAAAAACTTGTAAGAAAGTAAACAAGAAAGAATACACCAGATTTAACGAGGTTCGGCAACGTGCCTACGTCCTCAGGAGCCACACCACACAATTCTTTGATTACTTGAAGAAGATTACAATGCTTGCAATTGGCCTCTCTCTCTCTCTCTAAGATTTCTAACCTCAAAGAGCCCTCAAACCCCTCTTTTTCCGTGCTCTTTTTCTCTCTTAAACCCTAAAGGGACGTGTTTCTATTTATAACAAAACACAATCTCAAACAGATTAGGATTCTAAAACGAGTCTGTCACACCCTGGTGTGGCGCAGACCACACCCATGGCAGACAGGGCAGACTCTGCCACACCCTGATGTGGCGCAGACCACACCCATGACAGACAGGGCAGATTCTGCCACACCCTAGTGTGGCGCAGACCACACCCACAGCCTGTCTTGAATTTTCATGCAATTGTTGATTTTGATTCTAGGTTTGAGTCTCCACTCTCAAGACCAACAATCTCCCACTTGGAGATCAAACCACCATCAATGAGCTCTCCCGAACTTCGCCTTCTTCGCAAGCATCTTCTCCTACTTGAAAAATCCATTCTTCAATCATCAATATACCAGCGATCTCGCCGATCCTCGTAGTATGACTCCGCCTTCGTCTTCTACTCGTGAAGGCCAACTGAAGTTGCGCACAACTCCAGTTTCTCAATGGTGACTGTCTTCGTCAACATGTCCGCCGGATTTTGACTCCCCAAAATCTTTATCAAATGCAACTTTTCGTCTTCAACTAGCGAGCGTATAAAATGGTATTTGACGTCGATGTGCTTCGTTCTGACATGATATAGTGGATTCTTGGTAAGATGTATAGCGCTCTGGCTATCACAATAAAGAACTCTTCTCCCTTGCTTCAGATCTAACTCTTCCAAGCACTCGTTCAACCATATCATCTCCTTGCTTGCTTCAGTCACCGCTACATACTCAGCCTCGGTTGTAGACAAAGTCACAATCTTCTGCAGACGTGAGACCCAGCTCACTGCTGTCAACGCTAAGGTATAAACATACCTCGTGGTGCTTCGTCTCGTATCATGATCACCGGCGAAGTCCGCATCCACGTATCCCTGCAGCACCAACTCCTTCCTCCTGAAACATAATGGCTTATTCGTTGTCCCTCTCAAGTACTGCATTATCCACTTCACAGCCTCCCAATACTGCTTCCCTGGATTGTTTGCAAATCTGCTCACAACTCTCACTGCATGGGCGATGTCCGACCTCGTGCAAACCATCGCGTATATGAGACTCTCAATGGCCGAAGAGTATGGCACCCTGCTCATATGCTCTCTATCTGCATCTGTCTTAGGCGATTGCTCCTCAGATAGCTTGAACTGACTTCCAAGGGGTGTGCTAACAACTTTAGCATTATGCATGTTGAACCTCTGAAGTACCTTCTCAATGTATTCAGCTTGGCTCAATCTTAATGTCCCTTCAGCTTCATCCCTACTGATTCGCATCCCTAGAATCTGCTTCGCTGCACCCAGATCCTTCATTGCAAACTCCTTTGCTAGCTGCTTCTTCAAACTGTTTATCTCCTCTAAACATGGTCCTGCTACCAACATGTCATCAACATATAATAACAAAATAATAAAGCTGGACTCGAACCTTTTGAAATAACAGCAATGATCCGAATTGCATCTTTTGTAGCCATTGTTCTGCATGAAGTTATCAAACTTCTTATACCAATGTCTCGGAGTCTGTTTCAAACCATATAAGCTCTTCTTGAGCTTGCAAATCATCTCTTCCTTTCCTTCTTCAATGAAGCCAACAGGCTGCTTCATGTAGATTTCTTTATCCAAGTCACCATGAAGAAAGGCAGTCTTCACATCTAACTGCTCAAGAAAGAGGTCTTCTGCCATGAAGAAAGGCAGTCTTCACATCTAACTGCTCAAGAAAGAGGTCTTCTGCAGCTACCAAACTCAACATCACTCTGATGGTTGTGAGTTTCACAACAGGGGGAAATCTCCGTGTAGTCCACTCCTTCCCACTGTTGAAACCCCTTCACTACTAATCTGGCATTGAATCTCTTACTTCCATCACTCTCCTGCTTGACCCGGTAGACATATTTGTTATGTAAGGCTTTCTTCTGTGCAGGTAGCTAGGCTAACTCTCATGTTTCATTAGTGAGTAGAGAATCCATCTCCTCCTGTATAGCATGCTCCCACTGCTGAGATTCACTCACTTGTATTGCCTCTTCATAGCACTCAGGCTCACCGCTATCTGTCAATAATAGGTAGTCAAGGGATGAAAGATATCTGGGATTTGGTTTGGGTACCTTGGATAACCTCCTAAGCTCCACGTCCTGGGTAGTTTCTTCTGCACCTGGAGCCTTCTCCATTCTCTGATCAGAACAAACATCATCACCCCTATCTGGAAGTTTCTCTAAATCTATGTACTCGGATCCACCTGTATCTGTAGTGCTGCTCCCACTGCTTTGGCTATCCTTGGTATTTTCCTTGTTCTTGTACATCACCTCCTCATTGAATATCACGTCCCTGCTTCTGATGATCTTCCTGTTCTTCTCATCCCAAAGACGATACCCGAACTCATTAATGTCGTATCCAATGAATGTGTACTTTTGTGACTTAGCTTCTAGCTTGTCCCTGATGTGGTCACTGATATGAACATAAGCCATGCAACCAAATACCCGCAAGTGTGAGAGATTTATCTTCTTTTCACTCCAAACCTCCTCTGGAATCCCAAAATCCAATGGAACTGATGGCCCGTGATTAATAAGGTAGGCTGCCGTATGCACCGCATCCGTCCAAAATGTCTTAGGCAGACTTACATGTAATCGCATGCTCCTGGCACGCTCTGTCAAGGTCTTGTTCATCCTCTCCGTAATGTCGTTCTGCTACGGCGTCCCTGGAGTAGTCCTCTCTAAGTGAATATCATTCGTAGTACAGAACCTCTTGAACTCCTCCAGCTCGTATTCTCCATCATTGTCTGATCTCAGACATTTCACCTTTAGATCTGTCTCGTTCTCCACCATGGCCTTCAACTTCTTAAAGATTCCAAACACCTCTGACTTGTGCTTCATGAAGTAGATCCACACCTTCCTCGAGTGATCGTCGATGAAGGTGACATAATATCTCGAACCGCCAAAAAAAGACACACTGGCTGGACCTCATACATCTGTATGAATCAACTCTAGCTTCTGAGCCTTAGGTGACCTTCCACCTTTCTGAAAACTAACCCTCTTCTGCTTCCCAAAGATGTAGTCTTCACAAACCCCGACTTCCACGGCGTCGATCCCGGTTAGCTTTTCTTATGAATGCAAAATCTTCATCCCCTTCTCGCTCATATGCCCTAGCCTGTTGTGCCACGGATCTGTACTCTCTTTTCCAGCTGCAATTGCGAGAGTGTCACTCGCATGTAAGGTGAGATAGAGAGTTCCTAACTTGTTGCCTCGAGCAACTATCATCGTACCGTTGGAGATTCTCCACGAATCCCCTATGAATGTCGAAACATAGCCTTCTGCTCCAAGCTGTCCCACCGAAACAAGATTCCTCTTCAGCTTTGGCATGTGTCTCACGTTCTTCAAGGTCCACTTAGAGCCATTCATCTGAATCTGCACTTCACCCTTTCCAACAATATTACAATGCTCGTTATTCCCTAAATACACTTTTCCAAAGTCCTCTGCTACATAATTCTGAAATAGCTTCCTGTTAGTAGTGGCGTGGAAAGAGGCTCCTGAATCGATGACCCAAGAATCCGAGTTGTTATCCATAGCAAGGATCAAGGCATCCTGTACGATATGAGCCTCCTGCTCACCCGCATCCTTCTTTGAACTTTTACAGACTGAAGACATATGGCCCTCCTGGCCACAGTTTCAACATTTCCCTTTGATAGGCCTAACCTTCGAGTTTGGCCTCTTCTTCACTGATTTCGATCGATTCCTGTTCTGGTTTCCTTTCTTCTGGCTTCTACCTCTCTGCTCGAAGTTTAGAGCTGAACCTGAACCTTCTGATTCGGACGATTTCCTTCTAACCTCCTCGGATAGAATCATGCTAACATCACTCAGCTTTAACTTCTCCTTCCCTGCCGAATTGTTGATTGCCATCATACAACCTACCCAACTATTCGGCAACTACGATAGAATCAATAGGGCTTGCACTTCGTTATCGAACATGATGTCTACGGAGATAAGCTGATCAACAATCGTGTTGAACTCGCTGAGGTGCATCGTGAATGATCGTCCTTCTGCCATCTTGAGGTTGAAAAGAGTCTTGATGAGATGCACCTTGTTTGCTGCAGACGGTTGCTCGTACATCTTCGCGAGCGCTTCCATAAGCCCCACAGTCTTCTTCTCCTTTAAAATATTATGGGCTACTGATTTGACGAGCGACAACCGGATTTACCCTAGAGCCTTCCTATCTAGTATCTCTCAATCACCATCTGACTCCTCTTTCTTCTGTCCCTTTTCCTTACCCATCAATGGGCGATACAAGTCCTTTTGATACAGATAGTCCTCCATCTGTGATTTCCAGTAGACGAAGTCTGAACCGTCAAACTTCTCAATCTTAGATTTAATTTCCTCTGCCATGGCTCTCTTTCTCACAAATTTGCTGAACGAAGCTCTGATACCAGTTGTTGGGGATTTGAAATAATCAAATCAAATCCGTACCCTTCCGGATCTTGTGTTTGAGAGTTGAGCAAGAAAGAAATTCACCACAAATCAAAGATAAAAACTTGTAGGAAAGTAAACAAGAAAGAACACACCAGATTTAATGAGGTTCGGCAACGTGCCTACGTCCTCGGGAGCCACACCACACAATTCTTTGATTACTTGAAGAAGATTACAATGCTTGCAATTGGCCTCTCTCTCTCTCTAAGATTTCTAACCTCAAAGAGCCCTCAAAACCCTCTTTTTTCGTGCTCTTTTTTTCTCTTAAACCCTAAAGGGACGTGGTTCTATTTATAACAAAACACAATCCCAAACAGATTAGGATTCTAAAACGAGTCTGTCACACCCTGGTGTGGCGCAGACCACACCCATGGCAGAGAGGGCAGATTCTACCACACCCTGGTGTGGCGCAGACCACACCCATGGCAGACAGGACAGATTCTGCCATACTCACACCCTGGTGTGGCGCAGACCACACCCTAGTGTGGTCTGGGGGTCTGTCTTGAATTTTCATGTAATTGTTGATTTTGATTCTAGGTTTGGGTCTCCACTCTCAAGACCAACACTTATCTCCCTATTGTTCTGGTGCTCGTGATGAATTGGAGCGCCGAGTGATCAGAGCAACCCTTTCTGCATTCAGCAATATCTCTGGACAAATATTTAACTTTGATAAATCCTTGGCTCATTTCAGTCGTGCCACTCCAGCTTTTATACTAGAAGGAAGATCCTCTCAATTTTCAGTGTCTGTGAGATGAATATTGTTAGTACTTGTTTGTAAAAAAAAAAACAAGATAGTCCCACATTGGAATTTTGAAAATTCTTTTAGATGTTTAAAAGCATTGAATGCTTATTGGGCTTTGAATAATGGATCAAAGTGTACGCTTCTAAACCCGCGTGCGAGTAGCGCGGATAATGGCTTCTAAACCCGCTGCCGCTTAAATGTTCTATTTTTTTTGTTATTTTGAATTTTAAAATTATGAAAAGACAAATGATTGTTGAAAAGTGGCTGTTTGCTCCAAAGGGTGTTTTAAAAAGTTATGACTGTTGGAAGCACTTTTTCAAACCTATAAATAGTTTATGTTTTCAGATATCTAAATACATTTCTTTTCTAAATCTTTTTTAATCAAAAAAAACATCTGTAATATTACAAACTTGTTTCACAACGAATTAAGGAAAATTTCAGATTTGTTTACTGGAATTTTTATTTTCTGTTGTATCTTGGGAAGAAAATTTGCATTAACCCGAAGCAACTTTGAATATCAAGTGGGGGCAAATATTTCTTTAAGGAAAGTGTTTCACGCCTCAGAATTTCTGTCTCCTTCATTTTTTTTAAAAATAACAAATATGAATGACAAGTATCTTGGCTCTCGTGTTCTCTTGAAATCCGGTCAGAATAAGGCATGTAACCATTTAATCAACTCTATCGAGCCTCCCTATCTACCTGATGGGTACCATCAAGTTCCCTAAGAGGACATGTAACCATTTGGATCGCATCTACAAATGCTTTTGGTGGAATCATGACCCGGCGTAAAGGAGAGCCTACTTTGTTCGTTGGAAGAAAATTCAGAGGCCAAAAGACTTAGGAGGCTTAGGCATTCGTAGCACAAGTGAAGCCAAGCAAGCTCAATTAAGTAAACTCACATGGCAATTCATCAATGATAAGGATGCAATTTGGGTTTCTGTTCTGGCTGATAAATACATCAAGGTAAAAAATTTTGGACCGCAATCGCAAAGTCATCTGCTTCTACAATGTGGCGTATCATTCTTGATGGGAGAGATCTAATCAAGAAGGGTTGTTCATGGCGCATTGAAAATGGGAAAAGCATCTCAATTTGGAATGATATTTGGTTTGATAACCAATCTTTTCTCATTCACCCACCTGCTTCCTTCCTGCAACGCATCAAATCTGTAGCAGATCTTATCGATGAAGCTTCTAACACTTGGAACAATGACCTTGTCATGGTTGTCTTCGACCCAACTACTACAGAGTCTATTCTCAATACAAAAATTTGTAGCCCAAACCAAATTGATGGACTCATTGTTGACACTCTCATTTGGAAGGGTAATGTCACGCCAAGCTTCTCCTCCAAAGCCATCTATCATATCCTTTGGATGGATCAACAACCTCAACCCTCCTCTTTCAATTTCTTGTCTGCCCTCATTAAGTTGGTTATGAAGTATAAGTAGATTCCTCCACGTCTTCATTTGGAGGGCCCTTACTTATGGTCTTGCATCTGGGGATATCCTTCAAAGGCATGGTGTATTAACTAATCCTAAGTGTCATTTTATGTAATTTGGAAGATGAGACCCTCAATCGCTTGTTCATCTCTTGTACCTACACTCAAACCATTTGGCAAATGGTGAATTGTTCTCTTCCCACTTCTTCGTCCCTCACCGATTGGTTGTATCAGTGGATGAAGCCACCATATAACATTATCATATACAATCTCCCAGCCATTGTTGTCATTACACTTATTTCTTGGTTTATTTGGAAATCAAGATGTAAAATCGTTTTTAATTGATGAAGGAAAACTCTGATTTCCACCCTCAAGCTAGCAAAGGTTTGTGCAACTATGCAATCGCCAAGTATGACAAGCACTTGCTCTTTATTTGACATTGTCTCTCATCATAAATGGTCTCTGCTACCTTTAGTAGTGATTAAGATCAACGTGGATGCCGCATCAAATAAGAATATTTCAGCGATAGGAGTCGTTGCCCACGATCACCTTGGAAACCGTATTCTGTCCTACAA